CCGCCTGCCCCGAGGGCGAGGAGGAGGAGGAGGAGGAGGAGGAGGAGGAGGAGGAGGAGGGGGAGGAGGCACTGCCAGCCCCCCGGGGACATGGTGCCCTCTCTCGGGGACAGGGCCCCCACTCTCCTGCAGTTTTCCCATCACACCAAGGACCCCTGGCCGGTTTCCCTGTGCCCCCTCGCAGGAACCCCCACAGAGGACACCTGGCCCGGGATAACATCCAACGAGGAGTTCAAGGCTTACAACTTCAGCCAGTACCGAGCCCAGCCGTTGATAAATCACGCCCCGAGGTACCCCCGGAGCAGGGACACTGCAGGATCGGGGGGGCTGAGGGGTGTGAAGGGATTCATTTTCTCCTCCTGGTGCCACACCGGGGTTATTGCAGCAAAAACCGTGCAGTTTTGGCTTTGTTTCCCCTCTCTCCCAGGCTGGACTCAGAAGGCATCGACCTGCTGGCAAATCTCCTCCTGGTGAGTGCTGGGGCAGCCCGGGGGGTGGAAAAGGGGATTTGCTGCAGGGGAGGAGCAGCAGGAGCAGGGCAGGGTCACCCACCCCGCTCGTGGAGCTGCTGCGGTGGGCACGGGGCCCGGAGGGGGGGTGTGAACGTCATGGGGTGCCCAGAGGTGTGCTGGGGTGCCCAGCTGTGTGGTGTCCATGTGCAGGGGTGCCCAGATGTGCTCAGGGGTGCCCAGCTGTGCTCAGGGGTGCCCAGATGTGTGGTGTAAATGTGCAGGGGTGCCCAGATGTGCTCAGGGCTGCCCAGATGCGTTCAGGGGTGCCCAGATGTGTTCAGGGCTGCCCAGATGTGCATAGGGGTGCCCAGATGTGTTCAGGGCTGCCCAGATGTGTGGTGTAAATGTGCAGGGGTGCCCAGGTGTGCCCAGGGGTGCCCAGATGTGTTCAGGGGTGCCCAGAGGTGTACAGGGGATGCCCAGATGTGTTCAGGGGTGCTCAGCTGTGTGGTGTCCATGTGCAGGGGTGCCCAGATGTGCATAGGGGCGCCCAGATGTGCTCAGGGGTGCCCAGATGTGCTCAGGGGTGCTCAGGTGTGTGGTGTCCATGTGCAGGGATGCCCAGATGTGTGCAGGGGTGCCCAGCTGCGCTCAGGGGTGCCCAGCTGTGCCCAGATGTGCTCAGAGGTGCCCAGTTGTGCTCAGGGGTGCCCAGCTGCACTCAGGGGTGCCCAGCTGTGCTCAGGGGTGCCCAGATGTGTGGTGTAAATGTGCAGGGGTGCCCAGATGTGCTCAGGGCTGCCCAGATGCGTTCAGGGGTGCCCAGATGTGTTCAGGGCTGCCCAGATGTGCATAGGGGTGCCCAGATGTGTTCAGGGCTGCCCAGATGTGTGGTGTAAATGTGCAGGGGTGCCCAGGTGTGCCCAGGGGTGCCCAGATGTGTTCAGGGGTGCCCAGAGGTGTACAGGGGATGCCCAGATGTGTTCAGGGGTGCTCAGCTGTGTGGTGTCCATGTGCAGGGGTGCCCAGATGTGCATAGGGGCGCCCAGATGTGCTCAGAGGTGCCCAGTTGTGCTCAGGGGTGCCCAGCTGCACTCAGGGGTGCCCAGCTGTGCTCAGGGGTGCCCAGCTGTTCCCAGCTGTGCTCAGGGGTGCCCAGCTGTGCTCAGAGGTGCCCAGATGTGCTCAGGGGTGCCCAGCTGTGCCCAGCTGTGCTCAGGGGTGCCCAGCTGCGCTCAGGGGTGCCCAGCTGTGCCCAGCTGTGCGCTGCCCATGGGTACTCACGGCTTCTCCCGGCTCTCTGTGCAGTTCAGCGCCAAGGGCCGGATCTCAGCCGAGGCAGCCCTGCAGCACCCCTACTTCAGCAGCCTGGGAGAGCGCGTTCACCTCCTGCCCGACAGTGAGTGCTGCCCCCGCCCCCCTGAAACCGGCACAAAAGGCGCCCTCGGGCTCCTCTCTGCTCCCTCAGAGGCGCTTCTGCAGCAGGGTGGGGCCTGTGGGAGGAAAGAGTAATAATAATAACGGTAATAATTAATAATAATTGTGGTGGGATGAGATGGGGTGGGAGGGGGAGAGGGAAGAGCCCCGCGGAGGTGCCGCTCTCGGGCAGGACTGAGCCCTCTCTCTGCCCCCTCTGCCCAGACGCTTCCATCTTCTCCCTGAAGGAGATCCAGCTCCAGAGGGACCCCGGGCACCGAGGCTCAGCCTTCCAGCACTCAGGTAAGGCTGGGCAAAAGCCGGGATCTCTCCCAGCTGCTGCCGGGGTGGTGCTGGAGCTGGGAAGGAAGGAGCCAGAGCTGCTGCCTGGCACCTCTGCAGTCCCCAAATCACCCCTGGGCATCTGCGGTGTCACCTCCAGGGCACATCTGGGTGTCCTGAGGTGCCAGATGGGCATCTCCTCCCCCAGAGCCCCCCTGTGACCCCCCCTGAGCCCTCTCTCCGTGTCCCTTCCCCAGCCCGAGGCAAGAACAGGAGGCAGAGTATATTTTAAACTCGGATCTCGCGTTCCCCTCGTCGCCATGGAGATGGAAGCGCTGAGCAAGGAGAGGCTCCCAGCCGACCCTCCGCAGAATTCCCGGCTCCAGCAGGACGAGGATTTGGCTGTCCCCAAACCCCTGGGAGCTGTCCTCCATGGACCTGTGGCCTTGTCCCCCCCTGGTTTTGGTGTTGTCCCCAAGGCGAGGTGCTCCAGGGAGGAGCCGCCGGCCCCTGCGCTGCCCCAGGAGGGTTTGGGGGGCACAGGGCGGGGATTTGTGGGGTCTGGTCCGGGCAGGAGGTGCTGAAAATGCACCTTTGCTCAGCCAAGCTGCCCTGAAGCCCCTGGTTTTTGGGGTTAGAACTGCCGGGCACGGCCCAGCCTGGCACTGGGAGCGCCTGGGGCACACCTGGGGCACACCTGGGGCACACCTGGGGCACACCTGGGGCACACCTGGGCACACCTGGGGCACAGGAACCAGGCCAACCCCCCCAAATTTCCCTCGCCTCTGCCTGCAGAACCCCCTTTCCCCTCCC